TATTATAGATCTTATAATTATACTTAACTAGATTATTTTTTTTTAAGAAGTACGTATAAAGTCGTATAACTCTCTTATTATTAACCTAAAATAGTGTCTTACTTATATACTACTTAAAGAAGTCTGTCTCTAAGATTATCTTATAGTTATAGTTAAAGAGAGTAAGAATTAGTACTAATATAAACATCTTCTTTAGTTATTTAAAGGCTTTCTTAGCTTTATCTATCTACTTAAACGTCTTGTCTTTCTTTATAAGGTCTATAATTAGGCGTATAATATTAGAGAAGTTCTAAATAAACTTCTTATAAAAGTTTATAAATCCTAAGAATCCTTAGACCTCTTTAACTATATAAGGTACCTCTTAGTCTAAGATAGCCTTAACCTTACTTAAGTCTATTTATACGCCTTACTTAACCTTAATAATAAACCTAAGGTACTTTATTAACTTAACCTTAAACTTATACTTATTAATATTAAGCTATAAGCCTACCTCTTAGAGTCTAGTTAGTACTTTTTATACGTACTCTTAGTATTCTTTAAGAGTCTCTTTTAAGTAGATTAGGACATTGTCTATATACGCTAAACAGAACTTATCTAGATAGTCTTAAAGGGCCTAATTAATATACTTTTAAAAGGTACTTAGTATATTTATAAGCCTAAAGAGCGTTACTAGCTACTCGTATAGACTGTACCTTATATAAAAGGCTGTCTTTTATTTATTACTCTTAGTAATCTATATCTTATAAAAGGCTATAATTACGTCTAGCTTTATAAACTATTTTACTTATCTAATATTCTATAAGGTCTTATAGATTAATAAGAAAGGGTATTAGTTCTTTTAAGTAATCTTGTTTAGCCCTTAGTAGTTAATATAAAACTAGAGTCTACCTCTTAGCTTTTATATAAAGAGTACTAGAGCTACTACTAGTAAGTTACTAATCTAGATAAATTACTTGTCTAGTAGATTAGTTAAGGTCTTTTAAAGAACTAATAATTTGTTCTTTAACATACTATAAAGCGGCCTTTATAAGATCTCTTATTCCTTACTATCTGTCTTCTTAATCTTAATAGTATAGTTAACTAACTTACTATAAAGTAGTAGTAACTTCTCTACCTTTATATAATTAAATAATAAGAGGAACTCCTAGTACTAAGTAAGTAAAAAGAGTTAATAATTAGACTTCTTTTTAGTAGCTAAGGCCTTCTAGATATTAGCTATACTTACTAAGAAGACCTAAAGCTTCTTTTTCTTCTTTCTTTATTATATAGTAGATATAAACCTAGCTACTAATACTATCGTATAATTTAAGGGTTTATTTAAGTTAATAGTCTAGTTCTTAACTTATATACTAAACAAGCTAACTACTAACTCTAACCTCTTTAGACTTAGATAGACGTTATACTATATTATCTAAAGAAGGCTAAGGATAATATTATATAACACTAGGTTTAAGACTACGTAAAAGTAGCTTCTCTCTTTTATATAGCTATTAATATTAGTATTAACTACTATAACCTTATTAATTATACTCTCTAATAACTACTTAAAGCTAGTAATTATATAGAGTTTATAACTAATACGTAAGAGATAGTGTTTTTAAGTAAAACAAAAGTCTATTAGTCTATATAATAAGTAACCTAAATCTACTAGTATATAAGTAAAACATTCCTTATTAACTAATATTAATACTAAGAAGAAAAAGTAATCTATTATCTCTTTCTTAAACTTTTACTAGTCTTAGTCTTATACTTACTTTACTCTTTTCTTTTACTCTTATTTATACTTTTAAATAAGAGCTACTTATTTTTTAAGTTCTTTTTTTTTAGTACGTCTTCTTTATCTAATAGTTCTTTAATAGCCTAGTGTATTATTATATATAGCCTTAAGGTAGACGCTATAGCTATTCTCTTAGGTTAAGTTAAGCTATTAAGTCTCTAAGCTAGTAGTAAGTAACATTTCTAAGTAAAGTAGTCTTTACTACTATATTACAAGTATTCTCTAGCTATATAGTACTAACTAATAACCTTGTCTAATACTTACTAAGCTTACTATTATTATTATAGATAAGTAGTAGCGACCCTTATTATATAAGTTAGTTCTTAGTCTATATAGTCGTTAGGCTAGTTGTTTCTTAAGAGTAAGGTATAGTAGGCCTTGTCTTAGTAGCCTGTCTGTCTCTGTCCTAGCCTCTTAATAACGTTAAGGTTATAGCTTATAGTCTCTAAGAGCTTATAAAAGTCTATATATAACGTAGGTATGTCTTAGGCCGTAATTACTAGCTTAAGCTTGTCTAATACACTACTCTTTAAAAAGGACTTCTTTACGTTATTATCTTAACTTAGGCCTTTAGCTTCTAATAACGTATACTTAAAGTCTACTAAAAACACTATAAAACTCTAGTTTCCTTACTCTAACTTATATAACTATATCTTAGCTAACTCTCTTAACTTTATATTATTAAACGCCTACTAAAGTTACTCTAATAGCTTAAAATCTATCCTTTCCTTAACTATTAGTCTATTTTATACGTTTAACCTAACCTAAGAGGTAATCTAGGTTAAGGCCTTACTTATTAGTTAGCTATAAACGTACTAGAATTATATAGTTAGTATATTATAAGTAAGGTCTACTATAAGCTTAGCTTTAATTACTAAACGCTATATAGTAAACTAGGCTTTAGTCTTATTAAATATAGTAGTATCTAAAAGGAGCCTCTTTTACTACTTAGCTAGCGGCTTAGCTAGTAGCCTTATAAGGACGATAGTAGTAAGTAATAGTATTAAGACTATAGACGATAGTATTAAGACAGCTAAGACTAGTATAAGAAGTAGTAGGTTTACGTATTAGGCTACCTAAGCTTAGAGCTATTATACTACTTACCTTAACTACTTTACTTTATACTCTAGTCGTTCTCTTTACCTTAGTTTAGTAAACAACTACTCTTAGTTATCCTAACCTCTAGACAAGCTAGTAAAAGGGGTTTAAAAACTTATTATTAGGTAGTCTTGCTCTATCTTATACTCTTATACGACAGAGCTATAAGAAGCTCTAATTAGATAGAAAGGGTTAAGAGTATTCTAATATTAGGGGTCGACGACACAATACTTAAGTAAAGTCGATTTATTCTATAAGAAGAATACTCTAAAGAAGAAAGAAAGGAAAGGGTTTATATAAGGCAAGAGGCAGGAGAAAACTCTACTGTTAGGGCAGGACAACAATAGTCCGGTTAGTCACGTGCTTAGCACTAACCCCTTACCGGGTTCTGACCCGTGACAATGTTAGTCCATGTGAGAATGTTAGGGTAGGACTAAACTGGTGCGAACTAGAAATTCAATTTCTACCTACCTTAGGTAGGTCGTACAACTCAATCTTGAGGCCAGTACACAATCTTTATTTAGGTATAAACGCGTAGATCGGATATTCAAAGAGTCTTAACTAGGAGTGGCTGTCTATTAATGCAGGAAGGTTGAATCTTGAAAGAACTAAGGTAAGGTAAAGTACCTAGGTAGATAAGGTAGATGTTGAAAGATCGGACCAGATAGCAGCCTTACCTTACCTTACCTACCTAGGCAGGCATCTATATCACGTGACTTGTCTTTTAAAGAAAGCTAAAAATAACATCTCTACGGCAAAGGGGATCGGGGCCTAAGGCCGGGTAAGATAAGCGACAGCGGCCAAGATAAGGTAAGCGACAGCAGTTCCTCCTTTGCCGCGATCTATCTCTGCCAAGTCAAGGCAAGGCGCGAAGCAACAGCAACAGTTACAGCAACGACGAGCTTAACAACAAAATCCAGTTAGTTGTGGATGATGAGAGGCCACTAACTGCTAAGCGGAAGCAGCTGTCCTTGTCCTACGAGTCTACGACAGCCCAACGCAAAAGAAGCGCAAGCACATGGCTTCTATTTTTAATGATGATGATGTGAAAGAGGCTCTGTTGCTCATTGAGAGCGCCAGGCTGCCTCACCCTTCTGGCCCGCTGCTTTCATCCTTTGTCGTCGAAGCTCTCAACCCTCGACTGGCCGCTCAGTATGTACTGCAGACATGTCGGTCTGATCACAACCGACAAGCCGGTCTTCTTCTAATTGTGTCTGATTGGAGTTATCTTGTTGAGTCCTGTACGTCGCCTACATATCGTATCCTTTCCTATCCTTGATAATTAATAGAAAGTTAAGTTACAAAACACGGCTGTCCTCCACCAATGCCTGATGCCGTCACTCAGACTGCCATCGCCAAACGTGATGGCGATAAGTGCTGCATTACCGGCAAAGCCGGTAGTTTCTGGGATCCGTTAGTCGTTGTTCCTATTCTTCCCGTTCCGTCTCGCTGGATTGAAGATGAGGTATGTCCAGTCGTCCAACACGATCATGATGCGACGAGAACCTGACCCCAGTCCTTGAAAGCCCCGAATCTTCAACATGCTCGGTGCTTTCTTTACCCCCTCCTACCGCGATTGGTGGCTTGCCTATACTCAAAGGCCCGAGGACATGAACCCCTATCGTAACCACTGGCTTGTCCGTAAGTCAGCAGCCAAGGCTTTTGCTCAGGGTTTTGTAAAATTAGACAGATTGCAGCCGTCCATGGTCGAAGTGAGTTGCGACCGATGCACAACACAGGGACTTCCATTTTTTTTCTTCCTCTTCCTTGCTGTGCTGATACCTTGGAATAGTATGAGGTCAAACATGTTTTCATTGGAACGCTGGATCCGATCGATATCGACGGTTCTTATCCGCTGCTGGGTGATCATTCTCGACTTCATACCGAGAAGGTGGATCCACGCTTCGTGGGGACTCATGCTCGACTTGCCTCGAGCATTCGGTGGCTCGATATTGCCAAGCAAATTGCCCTGAACATGGAGATTCGACCATCCCCATCGATGGGCCGCGCAAACCATTCAAGAACAGATCCCCAGCCTGTCCAAAGGAGTGCATTCTTTTTTACTGGCCTGATGAAGACTGCGTGCCTCGCAGTTTGGCTCATGGTCCCGGGTAGGGTCCGAGTAGCCGCCTATAAGATGCTGCGAAAGGCAGGACATCGCCTTTACGGGAGACCCAGCGCTTACGAGCTCGTCCAGAGACTACCTTTCGGGCTCTACCTAAAGTATCTAGGAGACCCCGACGGGTTTTGCAACGAGTTCAACGCCTTGCAAATGGTCCGCCAGTATACTTCGGTCCCGGTGCCTCAGCCGCTTGACTTGGTCATTATGCCAACAGAATCAGATGACCCATTTTATTCCCATGATGCATACCTTCTCACGTCCCGCGTTCCAGGCATACCTCTTTCACGCTGTCACGATTTGCTATCAGACAAAGACGGCGCTGAGTTTGTTGCTCAGATGCAGGACTACCTGACCCAAGTACGAGCTATCCCCAAGACCGTCAGCCCAGAATATGCCATCTGCGACACTTTGGGCGGGGCATGCAGAGACCCTCGCATTCACGAAGCTAATCCTGTCGGGCCTTTCGTGGACGAGGCGGCTTTCAGCCAGGTCCTGCGGAACCCGGACGAGCCGAGCCGCAGAGGACACAAGGTTGTGTTCACGCATGCAGATCTGAATTCCCGGAATATCTTGGTTGACCGGGTCATCCGGCCGGATGGGTCTCGGGGCTGGACGGTGACGGGGATCGTAGACTGGGAGAATTCCGGGTACTACCCCGAATATTGGGACTATACTAAGGCGTTGTTTGAGGGATTCAGGTACACTCAGCGGTGGCGCGACTTCATGCACGATATCTTTAAGCCGTTTGGGGACCTGTCAAAGGAGTTCGAGATCGAGAAGAGAAGTTGGGAAGAGGGCGATTATGTATGAACGGCAATGCTACGCGACTAATGCTCCGCCGCGGCATGGCACCTCTCTAATCACTGCCTGGATCCTTCTACATTATCATTGTAGACTAGGTATCCCGCGCCTATTCACAATCGCTTATTGGTTAGGCGATAATGTCACTAAGTCAACCATTCAAAATGTCTCCGAGACGCACACTTTGGGTCTTGGCCACATAGGATCCAATGATTTGGACCATTGAGATGTGTTGGCGAGAGAATTTTGGCCAGATCCCTTTTCTGCCACTACTTTAGGCGCCCAGCAGGTTTTAGCAATTCCCTTGTCCTTTTTCAGCGGCCGGATCTTTTAATAGAGCTGTTGCCATGGCATGGCTATTTTAAAACGTTTCCCCGCGTTAATATCAGTCCCGTCGACATCGATGGCAAATTCTCGAAGCATTGTAACATCCCACCAACATACCTAAGAATCAAAGTATCGGGGAATTTAAATCAAACATACCTTCCTCCCAAATCAAATATATTGCCACCAGATACATCAAAATTCAGGGCAGACTTGCTAAGGTTAGTCAGCGTTCTAGAGGTGCTGAGGAGGTTCTTCTATATCTCTGTACTTGAACTCATCACTTTCAGGCTTTCATCAATACCATCGTCAATTCCATCCCTTTTTAAGACTTCCGCTAACCTATTCCTAGATACACACCATCTCCTTCCAAGTTCTTAACCATGGATCTCCCCTTCATCACCATTCCTCCCTCCGCACCTCACACGCACACGGTCGTCTTCTTACACGGGCGCGGAGACACCGCCAAAAGTTTCGCTTTATCTCTGCGTTACTCACGGGACTCACGCAACCGCACGTTTCCGGAGATCTTCCCCTCCTTCCGGTGGGTGTTCCCCCAGGCTGAGGTGCGGCAGTGCGCAGCCTTTCCCGGCGACAAAATTCCGCAGTGGTTTGATATCTGGAACGTGAGCAACTTCTCGGAGCGTGAGGAGCTGCAGGCGACGGGTCTGAGGGAGAGCGTTGCCAGTACACTGCGCATCCTTGCGAATGAGGCCACCCTCTTGCGCGGACAGTGGGATCGCCTTGTGCTGGCTGGGATTAGCCAAGGCGCCGCGACTGGCGTGCATACGTTACTGAATCTGAGTCTGCCGCCGGCTGTGGAGGAGGGTCAATCGGTGCCGCGCAGACTCGGCGCCTTCGTTGGGTTTTCATGCAGGATGCCCTTCCCCGGGAGGTCGCTCGCGGCGACGAGGAGAGTACTCGGCCTGGAGGGCGTCCCGGACACTGATGAGATCCTACTCAACACGCCTATGTTGCTTGAACACTGCGTCGATGATGCACTTGTTCTAATAGAAAATGGCCGGGGCTTGCGCGATACGTTGCGGGGGTTTGGCGCGCAAGTTACGTGGAAGGAGTATCCTCAGGGAGGACACTGGTTCAACTCACCGGCCGGAGTAGATGATGCTGTGGAGTTTCTGAACAGCCACATTCTTAAGAAAGCGTTGCCCGACTCGATGGATCTATCTTAGAGAGAGATCCTTGGCCCGTCTCTCTCCTAAAGTGCATGTACAGTCTTCCTTCACCTTATGTTCTAAGCCAAAACAGACTGTAGCAGCCGCATAGCTCAATGCTGATATGATAAGCCTCTAAATCAGAGGTTACACATGATATTATGCATATAATAATGTGGGAAACGTTATAATATACCTGGTACCTATCTATTATAACGCACCTGAGGTAAGATACGATCTAACATATTTTATAATTATAAACTTACCATCCCTAGGTACTTGAAAGCCCCCTGTTGCTTTAGTGGCTGACGTGATCCTCATGGCGTTGTCCGCCCTTTTGAAACCTGGGCTTTTCGCTTTAGAACAACATCTGCCTCTCTCTTCCTGTTTCTCGCTTCACTCTTCCAGAGCCTCTTTCCAACCACCATCCTCTCACCATGTCTCCTTTTGACGGCGACGGCGACCTACATCCCAACCGCCATCAACCCCTCATCGATGCCCTCACAAACTTCTATCGTGTCCTCGCAGAAGTCTGCTACATCCAGCCTTCTGACATTCACTTCCCCCCCTACGGACCAGAATTCAATACTTCTCTCGGACTCTCGCTTGGCTATAGCCCCGAAAGTCTCGAACTCTTGAGTAAACTACCATATTTGTCGCAAGAGTGTGATAATGCGGTATTATCACGTGTCCCATTTTCCTATGACAATAGTACAACTTGAGAAAGGTACTAATGACTTCTGAAGGTCCAATTAGACGGAGCATCTACAACCCCTCTAACCTACCTTACCGATCCTAACGATAAAGATGACTAGGGAATCTAGAAAGATGCACGTGATCCCCTAAACCGGGCCCCTCCTACCAGCAAAGATCGTAGCCGTGACTTAGGGACAAGTATATAGGCAGTAGTTACTTTACGATATACATTCTCGTTGGTATTTCCTTTCCGTACCTTTTTACGAATCTCAACTCTACAACGCGAGAACAAGAAGTTCGTATAGGTTAACAAGGAGAAAGAAAATAGGCACCCTAAGATCCTGGTGTACAAATTATAGCGACATCCTAACTAGCGCAGACATTTTGGTCCTTCTATCGTAAATTTGTAATCCCCCTCTGTACTCCTCTCTAAATAGAGTTTAAAATATGTTTCCCTAGGGTTAGAGGTTTATTATTAGTACTATTAACAGTACTACCTTTACCTCTTAAGATACGCCCTTCCTAAGACCTGTTACTAGAACGTAGTAAATAAGATCTAGATACCCTTTAGGTACTATACTTTATACTAACGCCCTTAAGGTACTTCTCTTAAGACGTATCTTATTTATAGTATTAAACTAAGGTATACTTACGTAACTAAAAGGCCTAAGGTAGAACTACTTAAGATTTTATAAAGAGATATATATACTACTAGATTACTCTTATATATATATATAGTACGTCTTAGCTTTACTAAGTTAAGAGGCCTCTTACTACCTTACTATAATAATATAATAAGAACTACTTAAGAGTCATAATTAGTTAAGCCTTATCTAAGGCTAAGGCCTTTATAAAGAGTCTAGTCTAGCGTTCTACCTTTACTCTAAACCTCTTTAAGAGAATACTAATACTACTATATAATAAGAACTAAGAAAAGACGTTTATCTCTTTCTTATTAAATCTATATTTTATCTTTAAGTAGTGCTACTTACTAAGACTTATTAATTACTTACTTTTTATATAGATATACTAGACATCCCTTAACCTTAGAATACTAAGGGTTTTAATAGCCTTATTTAAGTACCTAATAGTATTATTTTATATAAGAAGTTTATATAAGGTTCTTTTTCTTATAAGCTTTTTCTTCTCTCTTTACCTTTATTAAAGGCCTACTTATCTTACTAGTAATGTATATATCTTAAGAAAGGTACTAGTAAAAGTAGTTATTATTAAGCTATTTAAGTCTATTCTTATTCTAAACTTTTCCTTACTAATACAAGTACTTTATCTAGACTTAACTCTTTTAACCTTCTTCTAAGAGTAAGAACGTTACCTTAGCTATATTTACTATATTATATAACACTTCTTTAGTATATTATATATATAAGACTTGTACTCTTTATTAACTCTATACGTATTGTATCTATAACTGTTTATAGCTCTTTATTAAGTTACGACCTCTATCTATCTTATAACTAAGTTTAATAACCTTTATCTAAGTTTTATAACCTTTATTTGTTTTATAACTAAGTTTTATAACCTTTATCTAAGTTTTACGACCTTTGTCTGTCTTATAACTAGGTTTAATAACCTTTGTCTAAGTTTAATAACCTTTGTCTAAGTTTTATAACCTTTATCTCTAATTATAACTTCTTTTTATCTTTTTAAGAAAATAGCTACCTTCTTTTTCTTACTATCTACTTTTTACTATAGCCGCTAGTTTTACGACTTTTACTATTAAGGTTATTAGCTCTTACTCTAGTTAAGTTTTAAGACTTCTTAGGTCTATTCTACTTTTTACGACTTATTATTAGAGATTTAGGCTCTTACTTATCTAAGTTTCTAGACCTCTTACGTCTACTTTTATAACTAGTCGTTAAGAATATAAGCTCTTACCTTAGTTAAGTTTATAAATATCTTAAGTCTATATAGATCTACTATCTCTTAAAGTCGACTTTATATAAGTTTAATAACTTTACTAGTTAAAGGTAAAGGTCTTACTTAGTTATGTTTTAAAGACCTTTTTAAGTCTTAATAAGTTTAATAACGTCTTAAGTTAAGAAAGTACTATTCTTTTAAATGTTCTTATTTCTTATAGTAAGACTATCTTATAAACGCCTTCTTCTTACTTCTTACTACTACTTTTACTAATACTACTTACTCTTTATAATACTATTATTATATCTTTTCTTATATCTTTTTTAACGCTTACTTTACTTACTTTACTTACTTATTATATAGTAAGTAGTTAATATCTATTACTTACTCTTTACCTTACTCTTTATATAGCTATATCTACTTTTACTACTTTATCTAGGTTAGGATCTCTTTCTTTACTAAAGTAAAGTATTACTTATACTCTTATAAGAACTCTTTTTTATAGATATAGTATATCTCTTATATTTATATCTTATGTTAATACTATAACAGATCTTCTTAGTACTCTACTTTTATACTTAATAAGATATCTACTAGCTTAAGTCCTAGTACTTACTTTACTTTTCTTATAAGTAGCCTACTTAAGTAGCCTTACTTCTTTATTACCTTTTACTACTACTATTAAAGAAAGCCCTTAAGTATTAGCTCTTTTCTTACTCCTTACTTTTACTACTACTCTTTAAGCTATAGTACTTTCTAGAAGTATATAAACTACTTATCTTTTTAGAGCTAGATAATAAACGCTTTACTTTACTCTTATAATACCTAGACTAAGAGGTTTACTATAGCTAGCTATTAGAAGTACTCTTAAAACTATGTCTTAAGGTCTTTAAAGTACTTAAATAGTTACTAAAGGCTATATAAGTATACTATTAAGAAGTAGTATAGCTCTAGCTTTTCTACCTTTATAATCTACTTAAAGAGGCTCTTAAACCTCTTAACTACTACTATAAAGGCCTTATTATTTACTATACTCTCTTCTTACTAGACTATTATAAGTAGCGCTTTATACTTAATAATTAGTACTATATACTACTAGTATACTTATATATAGTATACTAGTCCTTATCTTACCTTAAAGACCTTAAGCTAGTATACTTAGCTAACTATACTACTAAACTACTACTTTAGGTATACTAAGAAGTTAATACTTATTACTATTATTAAGAACCTAAGGTACGTATATATTACGACTTAAGAGATAGTCTACTTATATACTATAAGCTCTCTCTCTTTTACTACTATTATTACGTATCTATACTTAGCTAAGTTTAGCTATAGCTAGTTCTCTCTTATCTACGCCTTAACCTTTACTAAGAGTACTTATACCTTATTAAGCCTTTATATTATAAGTACCTTATTGTCTATATAAAAGAAGTATATTAAGAGCCTTACTACCTTATTATTTACTTACTTAAGTAGGTCGTTAATATATAAGTTAAAGAGCTATAAGAAGAGTAGTAAGCCTTAAAGTACCTCTTACTCTTACTTAAACTATACTAATACCTCTTTATTTATAAGTACTTACTATACTTACTTTATAAATATTAGCCCTTATAAGAAAGAGTATACCTTTAGTAAGTACTTATACGCCCTTAGCTTTTAGTTAAGCTATACTTAAAGGACTATATTAAATACTACTTAAAAGTTAAAAAAGACTACTATTATCTACTCTTAGGTTATAAGTACTATATATACTATAACTACGTTTATATATGTTAAGTACCTTAGCTAGAACTTAGCCTAAGCCTAGTAAAGACGTACTTACTCTTTCTCTTAGTATATATATAAGAAGAGCTACTTAAATACCTTTTAAAAGATATATATAATTAAGATAAAGTAAAGGTTTACTATATCTTACTACTACTTATTGTCTTTAGTTAAGAAGTATACCTTAGCCTAGTTTTATACTTATAGCGTCTCTTCTTACTATATATATAGAGAAAAAACATCTCTCTCTTAAGGAGCGGTATTTTTAGAAAACAATAGCTACTACACTTATTAAAAGGACCTTAAAACACTCCTTTAAGTGCCCTCTTCGACTTCTATCGTTACACGATAGCGTACCTACTAGTGCCCTTAGGGGAACCTACTAGGGACGGTCAAAATAGGCCAGAAGGACCTAGAATCTACCTAGGCCGACAATTACTTAGTATTACTACAGAAATTTATAAAGTAATATCGTAGGCCGATAGGCAGGCCTCTAGCGCCAGACGCTCTCCGGCGATACTAAGTATTAAAAAGTTAGTCGACAAAATCAAACGCGTCGCAAAAACTCTTTACGCGAGTAACGACGACGCTAAGGCCCCGGAATAGGCCTAACGAATAGCCTCCTTAATTAAGAACATTAAAACTAAAGTCACGAACCTTAGTACGTAAGGCCGACCGACGTACGTAGCGATAGCTAGAAGAGGAGCGCCCTAAGCCTACCTAGCGACTAGTAGCCCCTCGACCTAGACGTTCAGGTATAAGGACGTTATAGAGATTAAGAGGAGGATTAGAGTTAAGCTCTTTATAGAGGATGTAGAGAGGTTTAAAAACATTGATTATAAGACAATAAAGGATAAGATTAATGTAGCCCTCCCGGGCGCCCTAGTACAGGCTGTTTACAAGTACGGGAATAGAGGCTACACGCTTTACACAAAGGACTTAGAGAGTATAAGGCGAATGTAAAGAGATTAGGGCTAGGTAACGTCGACCTTTAGTAGAGTAGAGGTGTTCCGGACTACACTACTAATAATTGTACATAATGTTAAGGTCAAGAGAGTAGGCCTTAAAGAAGATTCTCTAGAGAGAAAGGAATAGATCTAGGCTATCTAGGCATTAAACCTAAGGATCTAAATCGTTAAGTCGTTCTGGCTAGTCAAGACACGCGCCTAAGAGAAGTAGTAGACGTCCCTTGTCTTAGGTATCCTAGACTTTAAACACGCGGAAAAGGTAATTAAGGAAGGCTTAATAGTAGATAGTAAACTATACTACTACGCCCTCTACTCCCCGGGAGTATCCCTAAACTAGTGCTTTAAGTACTAGGAGATAGGACCTTACTAGTTAACTACATGTTTAAAACAGGAAACTTACGGAACATACGCGGGCTCTTACTAGACAAAGACATACTAAAACTTATAAAATAGAGAGAAATAGAGATGTGCTAACTATAAGAAGGGAGGACACTAGGCCTAGGACTAGGCGGCCTGCCTGCTACTATAGAAAAAACTAAATGAGGTAGAGCGAGCGGCCTTTATAAGGCCTAGTAGGTATTGTTAAGGAGATCTGATTAACACTAGAGTAGCCCTAGGCCTAACCCCTGCTCTTGTCCTAAGCGACCTAAAACACTCTATAGGAAGACCGAGAGTTAATACTCTAATAGGCTAAGAGGGAGCTATGCGCTAATACATACAAACCTTTAGCCCTTAAGTAAGAGATACGAGCCCTCTTACTAGTTTCCCGAATAAGAAGAGAAAGAACAGAGAAACTAATAGCTCTAACTCCTGGCCCCTCCCTCTCTTAACACTAAGCTTTAGAACCTCTATAGTACCTAGCCGTACAACTCTAGTCGTCTTTATCCTAAGCTAGACAGAATCCTAAACAGATAAAATACTTGTAAGCCAGGACCCTCTATAGAATTAGACCGGGACTTATTTAACATACTATAATATAACGTTAACAAAAAGAAGGACGTCATGATCGCGCTACTCTAGGACCCCTCCCTAGCCTAGTACGATATCCTGGCTATTTAAGAACCCTAGTACAATAGACACGACTTTATAACTGCCTTACTAGGCCTCTAGTAGAGACTAATCTACAGACAGGTAGAGGGTACAAGAGTAGTAATATATATAAACAAAAGGATCGATTAGACTACTTAGACCTTTAATACCCCTTACCTAGACCTGTGCTAAGTTAGCCTTAAAGTCGACGTTATAGGCACTCTAACACTAGTTAAAGTCACAAACATCTACAACCCTTTCCCTCTTAACAAGCATACCCTAAGAGGACCCTCTACTCTCCCGGCCCTCTAGAAGGAGCTAGACAACTAAAGCTACAAGTATATAGTAGTAGGGGACTTTAACCTCTATTACCTTATGTAAGAGGGCAGAGCCTCCTAAGACCTAGAGAGGATGTCAGACAAAGTAATAAGTATTTTATAAGACTTTTTACTCGGGATTACGATACCTATTAGAAAACGAACGTAGGGAAGAGGAAACTACAAATCCTATATCGACCTAGCCCTAATCCTAATCGAATTTAAAGATCTCCTTAGCTCTTATAGGGTAAAGCCGGGACACGACCTCTAGTCTAATCACTTTCTTATTACTATAAAGCTTAGATTTAAGGCTAAGAGCTACGTCCTACCCTTATAAAGACAATAGAAAGCGACCGACAAACTAAAGCTCCTCGAAATCCTATAGGGCTCGGTGCCGGTAATCTCTAAGCTACGTACTCTAGGGGATATTAACAACTAGCTCTAACTACTTATAGACTCCTTAAATTAGGCTATTAAAGTAACGGTCTTATAGCGAAGGGTAAGCGACAGGTCTAAAAGCTTCTAGAACGAGGAGTGTAGTAAGTAAGTAAAGAAGGTAAGACAGGCAGACCTAAGAAGGCACTAGAGGGGAGGCAAGAGAATTCCGGAGGAAACGATAAGAGAGTAGTATAGAATAGTAAGAGAAAAGAAGAAGGTAATCCTAAAAGCCTAGACCCTCTACTTTAGGGCCCTAGTCTATAAGGCTAGCTAGCGTAAAGGAGGAATGTAACAACTTAAACGATAGGCAAAGAACAGAAGCTACTTGCCTAGACCCCTGCTACAGTTCCCGACCCTCTACCCCTAGGGCAGAAGGGCCCTAGTTAACACCTACAAGAAGAAGGCTAAAGCTTTCTAAGACGTTTTCTTTGCCCTAGCTCTTAACGCTGATCTTTTAGACATCTTAGAATACTAACACCCCTAAGACAGGCCGGTTGACCCGAGAAGGAGACGATATAGAGACAGTCTGTTCTGCCTATAAGAGTTCTTAGTAGATAAAGTTTACGCTACAATCAAGAAGCTTAAGAATAGGAAGGCCTTAGGCCCGGATAGGATCCCGAACGAGATCATTAAAATGTCGACAGAAGTCCTGCTCTAACACTACACTTACCTCTTTAACTACTGTGCCCGGGTCAGGTACTTCCTAGAGAAGTTTAGGGTAGCCTAAACTATTGTGATCCTAAAGCCGGGGAAAGACTACTACTAAGTAAAATCATATCGACTAATTGCCCTCTTTAACACCCTTAGAAAGACTCTAGAGAAGCTAGTCGCTATAAGACTAACTAACCTAACAGAGGATTACCGACTCTTTCTAGTACACTAAATAAGGGTATAGAGAGAGAGAGACACAACTACAGCGCTAGAACTAATTACAGAACAGATCTATAGGGCTTAGTAAAGTAGCCTAAAAACGGCGGCGTTAATACTTAGCCTAGACATAGCCGGGGCCTTTAATAATTTATCCTACCTAAGGCTCCTTTATATCTTACGTACAAAGGGGATCCTAGAGTAGATAGTCTAACTAGTCAAAGGCTTCTTCTTAGAGAGAAGTAGTTTGATTAGGATCGATAACTATACTAGCCCCTTCTTTAAAGTCCCCTCCGGAATTCTATAAGGCTCCCCCCTGTCCCTTATCCTCTTTCTGTTTTATAACTTAGAACTAGTAGAACAGTATAACACTACCCTATAGGAGGGAAGTGCCGTTAGATTTGTTAACGATATAAACATTATTGTCTAGGGCAAGACAACAGAAGGGAATTGCTAAGGGCTAGTAAAGATTTACTAGGTGTGTTCTGACTAGGCCTATAGACATAGGGCTGTCTTCGAACTAACGAAATACTATCTACTCTACCTAAGTAAAGGACAAAAACATAACCTAAACGCGGGCCTCTCTCTAGGTGATATAGAGATTGCCCTAGAGCCGTTAATCAAGATCCTTAGCCTTATCCTAGACCTAAAGCTAACATAAGGAGCTTACCTAAAACACCTAAAGGGAAAGATAGAGAGGCAAATACTAGCCCTAACCTGTACTATAGCCTTGACGTAAGGCATAACAACAAAGAAAGCCTGTCTAATATACTGCGCGGTTATCTCTCTAGCGCTTACATACGCCTCGGCGGTTTAGCTCCTAACTACAGACCTTACTAGGGGTCTCTTAAGGATAGTAAAGTCACTCTAGAAGATCTAAAACAGCGGCCTTAAGGTAGTCTCTAGAGCGTTTAAGGCTACCTTAATCGAGATCTTGTATACTAAAACAAACGTACCCCTAATCTACCTTTACCTTAAATTCCTCTAAGGGACTATACAGGCAAGAGTATAGCTTACAAGCTATAAAGCCGTTATTTAGAACGCTAGAGACTAGATATAGAGGAACACAGATCCTAGTAGGGGTAGGCCCTAGTCTAACCTAGGGCCTACCCTAGTAGAGGTTAAAGAAAGATAGGCAAGGAATAAGCTTAGGGGCCGGAATGTAATATAGGACAAGGAACCTAAGACGCCCCTCCTACTAGGAGAGCTCTCCCTTACTAAGGCACGAGGTATCTTTAAGAAGAAACTCTATAAGGATTAGAATGTGTAGTAGAAACACTACTAGTAGGACAACCCTAGGTCAACCCCTGCGTAGTAAGGAGAGCTAGGGAAAGAACGTATAGAGAGATACAAATCGATAACAAAAGCAGAATGCTCTCTAGTACTAGCTATTAGGACAGAGAAGATTAGTCTCTAAGCCTTCTTAACCTAAAGAAAGGTCCTTACCTACTTAGCGGATTGCCTGTACAGGTAGAGGTTCTAGACAGTAAAGCACATTATTACTAGATACCCGGATTTTAGAGAATAGAGGGCGTACCTAATCGAACAACTAGGCCCGTTAGACTATTAGGTAATTACATCTGACCCGGGTCGTCTCTAGAAGGTGGCCAGATAGCTAATAGGGCTAGGCATCCTAGGACAGTACCGCCTTATAGTCTAGGCCTTAGCTAACTAATTAAACACAAGAAGGACATAAGGAATACTTAAGGTAACCTAGGGTTTAACTAACACTAACATTTATTAACTAGGATAGGACTCGAACAAAATAGCTATACTACTAGAACATACTCGGGCTATAACTAACACAAAAGAGCCGTATAATTCCGACTAGAATCTATAACGCTACCTACCTAAGTAAGTATACCCGGGCTATACCTAGGATTACATACGACTAGAAAGGAGAAGAAACAACAAAAGGAAAGAAGGAAACAGAGCGAGAAGACATTACCTTAAGACAAAACTAGAACTAGGAAAAAGAAAAACCCCCTCTAATCAAAGAAGGACTAGAGCCGATTATAAGCGGTAGTATTATTAATAGGCATACGATTCTGTCGCTTGTTAGCTACATTTACAAAAAGAATAAAGAGACCTTACAATAGAGTAAAGGGTCCGGATTATTATCGCTATACTAGCGTTAAGCTAGTCTAACTAACTAGTAATCTCGTAGGTAGTGTTATCCAAGAGGCAGCGGCGGGTTTAGCCTAGGCCCGCTATCTTATAGATAAGGCACTAGGAACTCTTATACAAATTCCGCTACTCGTTAGAGGTAGTAAGAGGAAAAACAAAAGAGCCGTCTACTATATAAGGTAGAAGGCAGGTAGAAGTAATCTTTTAAGCCGAGGGGACAAAGAAGCTAGGGCGAGTAGTAACAACAGAGCAAGCATACTTTACTACTTCTCTTACCTAAGAGAGGTGTTTAAGAGGAATCTAGCTAAGGGGTTAGCAAGGGCTAAGAGAAAAGGGGCTAAGGGAATTATACTTTATCGTAAGAGGAACGCTACTAGGCACAATAATTACAGACGTTATCCCCTAACGCCTTCTTATATTAGTGCGCGGGGTTTAAAAACAGCATTTTAATGTAGTAAAGACAGTAACCCTAGGAGGGCAACTACTCTATACTAACAGGCTCCTACTGCCGTACACGCGGTAGGCGTACTACCGACCCTAGGTAAAGGTTAGTAAGGGACAGTACTAACATAAGACAGTACACATACTACTCTATAATACAGGTCTACTCTAGCGACTAACCGATAAGGTAGCGACGCCCCTTATAGCGCCGCCTTCTCCCTAATTAGCCGCGGTAGGCCCCTCCCTCTCTCCTTTCTTATCCCTACCCTTATTAGCCCTACCGACTCCCTCTCTTCTCTCTCCTCCCTTAACCTCTTTAGTATCCTTAGTATCCTCCCTCTTAGACTCCTTAGTACCCCTTCCCCGGGCTTAGACTAGTACATCTCTTGCTAACTTATTAAAATAGTCCGGGTTATTATTATTATTAATACTATCCTTGTCTTTATCTCTTCCTTTATCTTTATCTCTATCCTTACCTTTGTCTTCCTCTTCTTCCTCTTCTTCTACCCTACGCGCTACAGCTACTACTTCTTGCTTAAGGAAGGCAGCGCGCTTTGCGCGGACAGACCGGATAAGGGAAATTAAGGGGGAGGCATCCTAGAGAGGCGGTAGAGCCTTAGTTCTACGGGCATACATGCCCTTAGTAAGGCCCTTCTTCTTCTTCTCCCTTTACTTTATCTCTGTCTCTATCCCGGTTATCGTTATCGCTATCGCTGTCGTCTACACTACTATCTTTGTCGTCGTCGTCGTCTTTAGCTTTAGCTTCGGCTTTAACTTCGGCTAGGCTACTACCTTTCCTAGTGCTACTCTTAATCCCGGCTTAGCTAGCGTCCCCTCCTTCCCCTTTCCCTACTTAGTAGGGGCAGGGGGTAGAGAGGGACGCGGGTTAGCCGCGGGCGCGGGCCGCTTAGTAGGCTTTGGCTACGTAAGGTAGGAGCGTTAGTCTAAAGGCAAGTAATAGAGAGTACTAATAATAAGGAATACATAAACCTTTAATAGAGTATCTAGACTAATCCGGGCGAAACCTTCCTCTAGCTCTCTAGAGGTAGATCTACAGGCACTAAACATTATAGGGGGGCCAGGAGAAAACACCCTAGACCCGCCTTAGGAAAGAGCAAAAAGGTCATTATTATTAACATTATTATTATCGTCGAATCTACCTAAGACACGAGTGCTAGATCGTATAAGGATAGACCGATTATCGGCCGAATCGTTATATGTCTCTACTATAGAAGAACTAGCCCAGGGAGGCTTACTAGTATAGACACGCTTACTAGTAGACTAGTAAAGCAGAGGGGGGTAGTCGCGTCCCCGCTTCTACGGGGTTACAGTAGGGGCGGCGTAAGGCATCTTAAAGGAAGGGACGACTAGGAGATGTTAAAGGTGCTTTAGGATTTTGATTCTAGTTTTAGAAAGGGGAGTTTAAGAGTAAATAGAGAGAAGGAAAAGGTTGTAAGTAAATTAGTAAAGAGAAAGGTAGAGAGGTAGGATGTTTATACAGAACACAACAAAGACCCCCTACCGGCAAGTAACTAAACAAGCGACAGGAACTAAACTAGATTCGGTATAGAACAATAATTAAGACAACAATTAGGACAGCCCCGGGCCTACATTAGGACAAGCCCGCGTAACGTCCTAGCTAGCAAACAAAGGCTACGCCTAACACGCGTACAGAACCGGTACCTAGGGCAGTTATAAAAGTAATTTACGATATAAAGAGAGGAGGAGGCTTATAAGATTAGAATTTTTTATTTTAAGAGTTAAAAGGATAGCGTATAGACAAATAAAGGGCAACCCTTAGGCAGGAACTAGGGTGACTACAGGCGGTCATTATTTTCTTATTTCTAATCTAAGAACAAAGTAGAGTACTAGGAGTAGTCTAGCGTACACAAGGCGTACTATATCTATAGCGATATCTATAGGCTTATGTAGAGGAGATAAGGACATAACAAAAGGACCGGCGATACTACGGCGCCTTAGTAGGAGGGTTTTATTTTCTTTCCCTTTCGTAGAACTATATGTATACTAAAACTTAGATTAAACTCTTATAGTACCTAGTATAGGTATTTAATAGAGGAAGATGTTACTACTACTACTATATATATATATTATAAAGGTATAAGAGCTATATCTTAACTACTATTATCTTTATAACTTATAAGAACTAGATATAAATCTTATTTACTTTATAGCTCTTATTAGCTACTTACTTTCTAATCTCTTCTTTAAGCTTAGCCTAGGGTTAAGGGTTTATTGTTAGTACTGTTAATAGTACTACCTTTACCTCTTAAGATACGCTCTTCTTAAGACTTATTACTAGAACGTAGTAGACAAGATCTAAATACTCTCTAAGTACTATACTCTATACTAACGCCCTTAAGGTACCTTTCTTAAGACATATCTTGTTTATAGTATTAAACTAGAGTATACTTATACGACTAAAGGCCTAAGGTAGAACTACTTAAGATTCTATAAGAAGATATATATACTACTAGATTACCCTTATATATATATATAGTACGTCTTAGTTTTACTAGGTTAAGAGGCCTCTTACTACCTTACTATAATAATATAATAAAAACTACCTAAGAGTTATAATTAGTTAAGCCTTATCTAAGGCTAGGGCCTTTATAAAAGGTCTAGTCTAGCGTTCTACCTTTACCTTAAACCTCTTTAAGAGAATACTAATACTACTATATAATAAGAACTAAGAAAAGACGTCTATTCCTTTCTTATTAAACTTATGTTCTATCTTTAGGTAGTACTACTTACTAAGACCTGTTAATTACCTACTTTTTATATAGATATACTAGACGTCTCTTAACCCTAGAATACTAAGGGTTTTAATAGCCTTATTTAAGTACCTAATAGTATTATCTTATATAAGAAGTTTATATAAGGTTCTTTTTCTTATAAGCTTTCTTTTTTTTCTTTACCCTTATTAAAGGCCTACTTGTCTTACTAGTAACGCGTATGTCCTAAGGAAGACACTAGTAAAAGCAGTCCTTATTAAGCTATTTAGGTCTATTCCTGTCCTAAGCTTTTCCTTACTAATATAAGTACTTTACCTAGACTTAACTCTCTTAACCTTTTTTCTAAGAGTAAGGACGTTACTTTAGCTATATTTACTATATTATATAGTACTTCTTTAGTACATTATATATATAAGACCTATACCCCTTATTAACCTTATATATATTACGTCTATAACTGTTTATAGCTCCTTATTAAGTTACGGCCTCTACTTGTCTTATAACCGAGTTTTACGACCTCTGTCTATCTTACAACTAAGTTTAACGACCTCTATCTAAGTTTTTATAACCTTTATCTGTCTTATAACTAAGTTTAGTAACCTTTATCTAAGTTTTATAACCTTTATCTGTCTTATAACTAAGTTTAGTAACCTTTATCTAAGTTTTACGACTTTTATCCTTAATTATAACCTTCTTCTATCTCTTTAAGGGAATAGCCGCCTTTTCTCCCTTACTATCTACTCTTTACTATAGCTACTAGTTCTACGACTTCTACTATTAAGGTTATTAGCTCTTACTTTAGTCGAGTTTTAAGACTTCTTAGGTCGACTCTACTTTTTATAACTTAGTATTAAGGATTTAGACTCTTACTTATCTAAGTTTCTAGACCTCTTACGTCTACTTTTACGACTAGTCGTTAAGGATATAAGCTCTTACCTTAGTCGAGTTTATAGACTTCTTAAGTCTATATAGATCTACTATCTTCTAAGGTTAATAGTATATAAATCTACTATTCTTTAAGGTTAATACTATATAAGTTTAATAACTTTACTAGTTAAGGGTAAAGGTCTTACTTAGTCGTGTTTTAAAGACCTTCTTAAGTCTTAACAAGTTTAATAATGTCTTAGGTTAAGAAAGGTACTATTTTTCTAAATATTCTTATTTCTTATAGTAAGACTATCTTATAAACGCCTTCTTTTTACTTCTTACTACTATCTCTACTAACACTACTTACTCTTTATAATACTACTATTATATCTTCTCTTATATCTTTTTTAACGCTTACCTTACTTACTTTACTTACTTATTATATAGTAAGTAGTTAATATCTATTACTTACTCTTTACCTTACTCTTTATATAGCTATATCTACTTTTACTACTCTATCTAGGTTAGGATCCTTTTCTTTACTAGAGTAAAGTATTACTTATACTTTTATAAGAACTCTTCTTTATAAATATAGTATACCTTTTATATTTATATCTTACGTTAATACTATAATAGATCTTCTTAGTACTTTACCTTTATATCTAATAAGATATCTACTAGCCTAAGTCCTAGTACTTACTTTACCTTCCTTATAAGTAGCTTACTTAAGTAGCCTTACTCTTTTATTACCTTTTACTACTACTATTAAAGAAAGCCCTTTAGTATTAGCTTCTTTCTTACTCCTTACCTTTACTACTACTCTTTAAGCTATAGTACCTTCTAGAAGTACACAAACTACTTATCTTCTTAGAGCTAGATAATAAACGCTTTACTCTACCTTTATAATACCTAGGCTAAAGGGTTTATTATAGCTAGCTATTAGAAGTACTCTTAAAACTACGTCTTAAGGTCCTTAAAGTACTTAGATAGTTACTAGAGGCTATATAAGCGTACTATTAAGAGGTAGCGTAGCTCTAGCTTTCTTATCTCTATAATCTACTTAAAGAGGCTCTTAAACCCCTTAACTACTACTATAAAGGCCTTATTATTTACTATACTCTTCTCTTACTAGGCCGCTATAAGTAGTACCTTATACTTAACAATTAGTACTATATACTACTAGTATACTTATACGTAGTATACTAGTTCTTACCTTACCTTAAAGACCTTAAGCTAGTATACCTAGCCGACTATACTACTAAACCGCTACTTTAGGTATACTAGAAAGTTAATACTTATTACTATTATTAAGAACCTAAGGTATATATACGTTATAACCTAAGAAATAGTCTACTTATATACTATAAGCTTTCTCTTTCTTACTACTATTATTATATATCTATACTTAGCTAGGTTTAGCTGTAGCTAGTTCTTCTTTATCTATACCTTAACCTTTACTAAAAGCGCTTATACCTTATTAAGCCCTTATATTATAAGTACCTTATTATCTATATAAAAGAAGTACGTTAAGAGCCTTACTATCTTACTATTTACTTACT